ACGAGGGTATTGTTTCTCTTGGCCACATCATTAGAGATCCTACGTTCAACATCTTCCTTGCCGCTTCTAAAAGAATCCATAGCATAACTGATCCATCCAATGCTAAACTGTTAGCTATCCGTTGGTCATTGCAAATGGTGAAAGAGCTAGGTTTAGAGAACTTTGTGGTGCAATCAGATGCGTTAGCTGTAGTTAACTGTATCATTGAAGTAGTTTTTAATGCAGATTTGAATCCTATTATTTATGATTGTAGAAATTTAATGTCTAGTTGTAATAGTGTTATCATTATGTTTATTAGTAGACTTTGTAATGTTGATTGGTATTGGTAAGTCCTTAAATTCTAGAACTTGGATTGGCTATATACCTTACTCTTAAGGCATTCAATGTGTAATGTTGGTTTTTCTTCTACTTAATGAAATTTGTTTGTCATAAAAAAACATTAGTATTGAATATTTTGAAAGTAATTATTTAATGAGTAATTACCTTAAATTAAGTTACAAAGCTTATATTTATAAAATGTTATTTCTTGAATTCAATTCATAAATATCAAAAATCTGAAAAGTATTAAACGCGTGAAAGATTTAAATAATTTTCATTTTCAATTGTTCAATTAGAACTAAGAGGATAATCTACTTATAATAATAAGTAAAAACATTGCAAAAGGTTTAAGAAATGTATACATTCAAAATCAATGAAATAGAAATTCAACTAATTTAGTTAAAGAGACTCTGAATAAATGATAAATAATTGTTATGATTATGAGTGATCACAATGTTGTAATGATCGAGAGTTATCAAATTTTTTAATTTAAACGGTTGCTTGTCCACAAAGAACATTTGCACAAATAAAAACTTACAATTTCAACCGTATGGCTAAAATCAAAGTTTAAATGCATTTTTGATTTCGGCAAATTAGAGAATTTTTGAGTTTAATTCATATAATTTATTTATTTTGGTCTAAGTCTCTATATTTCATTTTTGTGTGCGTTTAGTTCTAAAGCCAACTGCAAATTTTTCTGGGGATTTTGACTTTAGAAACTAAACCACACGCAAAAAATGAGTTATAAGAACTCAGACAATAAATAAATAAATTACAGGGGTCAAACTCAAAAACTCGTTAATTTATAGAGACCTACAGACTATTTAAGCCTAAAATCAACCTAAATTTTTATTTTTTTTTACCCGATTCTATTCAATGACCATTCTTAGATGTCGCTTCCATTCTTGGAAACTTTAAGGCAAATTTAAGGGACATTGACAATAATTAATCATGCTCGACTTTCTCTCCATATTCTCACTATTTCACTCAAAGTGTTCAATTGTGTTATCCACTCAATCAATATGTAACACAAAATACACACTTTTGAGATCCTAAGGATTATAGTCGGGCTTAGGTTAAGTGTGAACTTTTTGGGCAATAGGTTAAAACTTGAAATTAAGTATGTTTCTTTCTCTGAACATGATCAAACATATAATTTCACAATTTTAAAGATACTAATGAGCGCACACACACACACACTCTCTCTCTCTCTCTCTCTCTCTCTCTCTCTCTCTCTCTCTCTCTCACTTGGAGTTAAGTATGTTTCTTTCTCTGAACATGATCAAAAATATAATTTCACAATTTTAAAGATACTAATGAACACACACACACACACACACACACACACACACACACACACACACACACACACACACACACACACACACACACACACACACACTCTCTCTCTCTCTCTCCCTTTTGAATTCCTAAACTCTTGAACTAATGTGTCATCTTATCCTTTTGATCTTACTAGAATCTTCCTAGATCATTTTCTCGGTATATTAACTACTTCATTATTCATGCAATAAGTAGGAATAAAAAGATCATACTTAATAACATCCTAAACATCAAAATAAAAGGTTGTTTTGAAATTTTTTCATTCTTGCTCTCCATACAACTTCACCATCAAACCGTGGAGGTCTGTTCACGACAAGGAATATATTAAGAAAAGTGCTTGAAGTCGTCATTCTATCTCCTTAGATGATTAGTCTTATAACATAAGTTAGACTCTAATGCCACTTGTTGACTAAATAACTTCAAACACAAGATGAAGATCAGTGTGAGTTATGTTATTTGATTTTTAAAATTTTTTTAACAAAAGATTGATTTTTAAGGTTGGTCAATTTTAAGAAGTAAGATGCACGAATAAAAAGAGATAAGAGATAGAACGATCGCACCTAGATTTACGCACTAATGATGAAAATCATATAAATTAAATAAAACACCTGATGAGGCGAACTTTCACAACTTTAGTTCCTTTTGATGCCCATCTTTATACATTTGACTGTCTTTGCTTTTTAACATCATAACCATCTTTATATTCTCCTTTTGATAACTTCCACTTTGAAGAATCTCATAATTATTTTAAATTTGTTCTTTAGACATCATCAAAGCTATACATATGGTAACACCATAACTTGAAAATGACATAGAAACACAAGAACCTACATATGGTAACACCATAACTTGAAAATGACATAGAAACAGATGAACCTCAAGCCATTAGAATTGGTATCATATCCAAATGGCAGAGCCGACCCAAGCCCAAGGCAAATGAGACCATCGCCTTAGGCCTTAATTTTTGAGCATTTAAAATAGGTTTTGAATATTGATAAATGAGACCTCTAAATTTATATATTTAATCAACGTTTCATGAATAATAAATAAAAAAATAGTAGTTGAGTTGACAATAATTTGCTGTTTTAAGCTTTGGCAAACGAGTTTGATTCTTGATGGTGTGCATTTATTTTTCTGTTTTTTAAATAGTTTTTCATGTACATTATTTTTTTTTTAAAGTTAACTTCTATACTGTATTTTTAAAAAAAAATCAAAACAAACTCTAAAATTAATTTAAAAAAAAATTAAAATAATTGACACATATTAAAAAAATAATACAAATTAAAAAAATAATAAAGTTGGTTAAACTTTTAATTAAACCAATTAGATGTTTTGGGAAGATAGTCGAGCATTAATCCAATTATAACGTGTCTTGTTAGAATAATTTGACTTTGATTCACTCTACCTCTTCTTCATTTATTGATTAAAGTGTATTTCTTCTCCTTCTTCTTTTTAACATAAAGTCATGAGTTCGGTTAAACCCAAACATACGCTTAATCATCAATGGAGAAAAATCAATCATTTTTCTTTAAAAACGACACTGATCATCTCTATCTTTGGGAAATCAGAAAACATTTTCATGAAACTCAACTTCTATGCTCTGGTTTGAAGCCTTAATAAGGTAAAAGTTTGGTACTTCTATTTCTTTTGAGACTTCTCCTCCCACATTATTTTCATCCTAAGCATAGAAGTAAAGTTTTAGACAAATACTTTATGATCCCCCAAAATAGAAATATAAGTCACAAAAGAAATAGATGTTCCAAACTAATGCAAATATTTCTTTTGGAACTTCTTCCACACAATCTTTCAATCTTTGCCCATTCAACTATTTGGAATTTTGTTTTTTTAGAGAATAACTTCAATCATGAATTGAAAACTAACCCTTGTTGTCTTAGATAAAGCTTTCTCTTTACTACGTACTTATCATAAAACCTATTTATCTCATCCTTATAAATTATCGCATTCTCATAAGCCATAAATTTATCTATTGTAACTCATGCAACTTCAACAAAATCTTCTTGTCGACTAAATTGCATTAAAGTGAAGTAGTTTTACTTTCCAATAAGATTTATGTTGTAACTCAACTAAGATATGCCATGCTTTTCACTAAACAAACTCATAAGAAGACAAACCAATGAGTTTTCAAAGTTGTCTTATATACCTAAAATGCATCATTCATTTTCTTGGGTCAATCCTTCCTTGAAGTAACAAGAGTCTTCTCAAATATTTGCTCCAATTATCTATTTGACACTTCCACTTTCTTGCTTGTATGAGGATGGCATGGGCGGATGCATACTAAGGCATACTGTAGCTAAAGTCACACTAAACTGATATTTTGACGGATATTTTAAGAGGATTAATCCCACCGTTTATTAGTGAAAATTCTGTTTAAAATCAAAACAAAATTTCGTATGAATTAATCTAACACAAAAATTGATTGCACCTAACAAAATTTAAATTTGAGGTCTTGAGAAAAATAATATGTAATGTCATTCATCCCTGAGAATGGGAAGGAGGGACAACCTTATCCTTAACATTGTACTTGGACTAGAGATTATCGAAATACTTGTTTTAAAATGTTTCATTCTATTGCTAATCAAAACTCTACGACTATAAACTTAGAAAAGATGTTCTTCTTCCATAAATTTAGCATGGCGTGGACAACAACCCAATCTTCGGTTTCATATATTACATTTAATGTTACTATTTTAAATTTACTCTCGTTTTTTAAATTTTAATATTTCAATGTTTTCAACAATTTAATGCATTGTTTGGATTATTATGTTGGAAAATCATTAAAAAGATATTCATAAAATATTTAAATATATTGATGCATTCAATGGACCGGTCCAATTTTCAGACAGAAACAAACAAACAATTATTATTGATCTGTTAAAAGTTTTTCACAGTTATATGTAAGTGGTGGTCCATGAAAACTTCGACATGCGAACCAAAATAATATCCATGAAGATGATGAGTTCAAGACCAGAAAAAATAATAACTACATCACCAGAAAATTAAAAGAGAATAAGGCTTATGAACTATCACAATAGGAGTAATATTTTCTAATAACACTTCATAAAAGAGAATTTAACAAAAACATGTAGGAAAATAAAACAGTTCTAAGGAATCTTTTACAAAATTTAGACAAAACAAAACATAACCATAAAATAATAATATTTCAGGTCCGTAACAAACTTTGTACAATTGTATCAAACTCCAATCTATACAACCAATATGCTGACGCAATAATTTAGTCCAATAAATTAAAAAAAAAAAAAAAGATTTTCAATTCTCCAATAATATTTTCCATTCATGAAATCAAAGATAAGCAAGCAGTTCTAAGGATTGTAAAAATGTCCACCACAATGGCATTTCCAACTCAATGGCTTGTAATTTGAATACCTGTTATTAGTATTACCATTATCTTGGAGAAAGAATCCACCTTCCGCGGCGGAACTCGAAGCAGCACTATGAGTATGACCAGGCTGAAGATGTTCATGGCTTGGAACTTGCACCGCCATGCATGGATGACATTGGTTACACTTGTTGTGACATGTAGGTGGAGCCGAACCTAACCTGTTTTTCTCCTCAAATAATAATCCCTGCACAATATAATATGCGGTGAGTTTAACAGAATCACGATGAAACCTAATATCCTATGAGTTTGGCAGAATATCAAAAAATCACCGCAATAGTCAATATTGCGGTGATATGTCTGATATTCTGCAGAAACAAGAACAAAAGCGTACCCTTGGAGGAATTGCAGATTGTGATTGGTAGAAGCAAGAAACTGGAAGAAGCAGAAGGTGAAGTAAAAAAATAATTGTGGTTGAGATTTGATATGAATTAAGTGAAGCCATGGAAGCATATATCATGTCACTTGTAGAAGTCATTCCCCATCTAACTCAAAAAAAGCTATAAGTTGAAAAAAAATTAAATGCGACTTAACTGAGATATATTCCTCATGCCAGTTGTAATGTGACAAAAAAAAACTATACAGATAATAAATAAATAAAATGAGTCAAAATTGAATAAATATTTTGTTGTTGTTGTCAAAGTAGACCAAGAATGAAAAGTTTGTCATTACTTCTAGTTATGAGTAATGAATGGTTTTAATTTTTCTAGTTATGGAGGGATAGTGGTGGAGAGAGAGAGAGAGTGCAGAGTGTTGGCAGAAAAGTGAAAGGAACGATTCAATAAAGGTAAACAAATAGGGAGAATCCAAAGCAGTATGAAGGACTCTTTGGTTGCATTAGTAGTTTGAGACTGTGGCTGGGTTGAAAGTGAAAGGATTCTTTGTATCTATGAGTTGGGGTAAATAAAATGCAAAATCACTAAATGACAACTTGTAGTTAAAACTAGAATTTGATCACAAGTTTGAGACTCCCAAAATTTCAATAATGTCTATTTAAAAAGAAAATTAAGGATAGAATTGTGTTTGGATTTTCAAATGTTATTCAACATTTCTTGTCTAAAACTTTCTTAAACCCTTCCAAAAATCTTACTATTTTATTAAGAAATTGAATTTTGTCACACAATTAATTTACTCTTGGATACCATTAACTTTATTATCATCTTTTTTCATTGTTGTAACTTCTCTTTCTTGTTTTAATAACAATGCATACTATTTTTGAAAGATCATTTCACAATCCTGAAAATCACTTGTGAAAGGACTTTTTTTCGATAGTGTTAATTTTTTTTTTTTTGAGTTTAACGTGATTTCTAATATGCATAACAAATATAAATATGATCTACTAAGTTGTTATCAACCTAGCTAAACTTTGGAGAATATGAGGTTGATATAGATACTTATGTACTAGATGTTGGTAATTCGAGTGTTTTTGAACTTGATGTTGCTAAAATAGTTGTTGATAAAATGATGCTGATAAATATTTTAGCACATAACCAAAATTTATATTTTGTGATGAAATTCTTAAGCTAGATTTGTTGGGAGAGTGTTTCACTAAAGACATTGAATATTGTGAGATTTTTTCTTTTAGAACTACATCATTGTATCACATATTTATTCAAAACTTTAAAATAATAGGTGATTGAGTTCTCTCACTTATAAATGCTCAATTCTCCATATTTTTAACCAATGTGAGATTATTATCCACACTACTCACACTTGTTACATTTTCAACACTTCCTCTCAAGTGTGACTCCACAATGCTCTCTCTCAAGTGAAAGTTCTTCTTACTTCCACAAACTCTTGTACCACATGGAACGTTTCTTACTCACCATTCTTGTGACATCGTTGACTTTCGATATAAGTAAGTCGGTCATTTTCTCAAACCAAAGGCTCATGATACCATGTGTTGAGGAATTTTTTCACTATGAAGTATTGAACATTGTCGGACTTCTTCTTTTAGATCAACATCTTTGTGAGTGAGCTCTCTTACTTATAAATGCTCAAATCTCCATATTTCTAACCAATACGAGATTATTATCCACACTTCTTATACTTGTTACATTCCCAAAAAGATTTTGTTATTGGGATGTCTGAATTGGATTCTTATAGAAAAATTTCTTTTATAATATGTTGATTGTGAATGAAGGGATGAGTATAAATAATCAAATAAAAATTAGAAATGTGTTGATACAAAAAAATAAGAAATATATTTGAATGTCTATTTAGGATGTGGCAGTCCTATCCGACTTCAAATATTTGAAAATTTAATATGGTTCATGTTGTGCATAACGGACTTTGATCACAAGTTAGAAGGTCCTTATATTGTTGATCATTTAAATGCAAAATAAAATGAACACAATTATTTCCAAAAATATTCCCCATACTTTAAAAAAGAAAGAGAGCCGATAGTGATAAATATTAAATAAGTTTATAATATTCTACACAATAATAAGGTTATAAGGGGTCCAAGAGCTCTTATGCAATATTTGTTGATATTTGTCGGATGAGTATGAACATGTCTCTAGGTATAAAATGTTTGGTGTTGGTAAAATCGTTCGAGACATATTTTAGGCACATTTAAGGGTGTAATCAATTCGGTTTGGATTAGTTTTTGATGAAAAAAAATGTTCGAACTAATAATATCTTCACCGCTTTGGTTGAGTTCGATTTTTTAGTATTTCTCAAAAATGAAACTAAACCAAACTAACCATTTGGGTTTGGTTTGATCAATCGATTTAGATCACTCCTTTTTTTGAACATTATATTAATTCGTGTGTTTTCCACCATCATGTTTTTTAATGTATTTTTTACTATTATTTTTTTAAGCGTTAAATATGTTCGCGGTCCTCCTAAATATTTCATATTTCACGTTTAGTCCCTCAAAGAATTTCTTTTAAAGAATGGTCCTTTTAAAATTTTTAACCACAATTTTGACCCATCCTGCTAAAATCGTTGTTCATTTAGCCGCTAAGTTATAAAAATCGTCACTAAGTTGCAATAGTGGATCAAAAATGTGGATGAAAAATTTTAGGAGGACCATTCTTTGAAGGAAATATTTTGAGGGACTAAAAACGAAATATGAAATATCTAGGAGGATCAAAAATATATTTAAAATGATATTTTTCATATATTTCTTGCTCTACCTTTCAAACAACTTACAAGTTGTACATGATCCATGCAAAGTAGTAAAAAAATAAAACACAACAATAACACCAAAAGGTTATCATACACATAAATTGACATGCTTCACACCTCAAATACACATCAAAACTATTTTGTAACAAGACTAGAAGAATTTTCGTTGAAGAAGAAGTAAAAAAAAGGTATAGCAAAGAAATTAAAACTAACTTAGAGAACTTGAAACACGAAGAAGGATAATTATAGTTATCGATTCGGTTCACCGGTTTGGCGGTTCCTAAAAAGTAAAATCGAGAACCAAACCAAACCACCAAAGTTCTCATCAGTTTGGTTTGGTTTTTGAACCGAACGAAAAAAATTGTTTTTTTTTCCGGTTTAGTTTGGTTTGTATTGTCAGTTTAATTAGTTTTTTCTGGTCTGCTTACACTATATTGCTCATTGGTTTAGTTTGGTTCAATTTTTAGTATTTTTAAAAAATAGAATCGAACCAAACTAATCGATATAAGAGGATCACAAAAACTACCGTTGTCAATTTAATTGTTTTTTTTATTGGCTTACACCCAAGAAGCAATAACCATAAAGTGATGTAGCATCCAAGTATAATAATATGTTATAACAAAAATATTATTAAATATATATTAGGAAAGTACTATATAATAGATTATTTTCGAATATTATCTGAAGAAGATATGTTATTTCTAGTCAAGTGTATTGTCTTGAACTTTTTTACTTTGTCCAACAGAGCGTACAAGTGAATAAGACATGTAATTCCTCAAGAAAAATCATGGATACTATCTACGTCTATGAAATATCTTAGGTACACTGGATTTGTATATGTTGCACTCTTATTAACAAAAATGGTTGTGTCAACTAAATACAAGAAATATGTCACGAGGACACAATGTCTGCAATGCTCTCTGTGATATTCATCATTCAGATAAATCATAGAGGTTGTCAAATGACACGTCTACAATGTTTCTGTTAAGGCGAAAAAATGCAGAGAAGCTTGAATGAAATTCATCTTTCATTAATTAGAAATTTTGTTTATCTCTTGATACAAAAGGAGTAGTAAACATAGATTTTATATCTATCTCATAGAAACTACTATACTCAGTAAAATATACAGTTGACAATGATTGTATTATAACAGACTAGTAACAGAAAAAAAAACTAACGACCCTAATAAGTATAAATAAGCAAAAGAAAAAGAAGCCCAATATAAACAACCCAATACTTTTGATACCCCTCTCAAATTGGACTATGTAGAGCACAAAGTCTCAACTTGGATAACATTGAAACCAAGGTCGACTGATGAAGTGACTTGGTGAAAATGTCAGCTAACTGGTTTCTGCTTTAAATTAGAAGGAGATGGATGAGCTTGGGATTGATCTTTTTACGAATCACATGACAACCAAGCTTTATGTGCCTTGTTCTTTCATGGAAAGTTGGGTTGTGCGTCAAATAAATTATTGACTGGTCATCACAGTAAATAACAACAAATGTGGAGAATTATATGTTGAAATCTATGAAGGGATGTTGCAGCCATTAAAGCTCACAAGTAAGTGAAGCCAATAACTTGTATTCTGCCTCAATGAACGATCGAGATACTACTTTATGTTTTTTTATTTCCAGATCAAGGGTGAACCAAATAAAACATAAACCATGTAATGGATCTGCAGGTGTTATGGAATCTAGCCCAGTCAGAATCTACAAAGGCATGAAGTTTTATGGCACTATGATCAAAGAAAAAAAAATGCTAGTGGAGGTTTAGTATTTTAGGTATCTCACAAGGCGAATGGTTGCATTATGGTGAGGGATCAAAGGGTTAGAAATAATTTGGCTCAGATGTTGCACTACATATGATATATTTGGTCTACTATAGGTCAAGTAAATTAGTCATCCTATAAGGATAAAATATGTTTTTTGATCAAGTACACGAATGCCTTCTGATGCAGATAGTTTATGGAAAGGGTCAAAGGGAATAAAAGAAGGTTTTGATGCAAGGTAACTAGTGTTTTGGAGGAGTTCAAGTGTGTAATGTCTCTGGTTAAAAAAGATGTTTGAGGTTGTTCTTGCAATCTCAAAACCTAGGAAGTATATTAGTTGGCCAAGGTATTTAATTTTGAACTTAGAGTGAAAGGCTTGTTTTACACGATTAATTTCATGGACGGAGTTCCCAGCTAAAACAACATCATTAATACAAACCAACAAAACAATGAAACTTAAAATAGTGGCTTTGATATATAGTGAATGATCAACTTTAGAATATTTAAAACCAAGAGAGATAAGAAAAAAGGAGTGTTTTGAGTACCATTATCTTCTTGCCCGCTTCAATCCATAAGT